CATGAACAGAGATGCACCCTCATCTCTTAGCCAAGTCCGGGCGTCTGGCTGAGGCTGGAGCACGGATGCTGAGCGGCTCTGGGCAGGTGGGAGCTGTCACCTGGGGGTGTCATAGGGAGGTGGTGGTGGCTGCTCGAGGTGGGCTTGTGATCCCCACAGCCCAACAGGCAGGGGCTGCCGGGAGTGCCTGCGCGATGCCAAACCCCCGGGAGCTGGGCAAGCTGCTGGCTCCACCAAGAGGAAGGTGTGTCGTGGCCAAGGGGTGATGAGGGAGTGGTCCTGCGTGAGCTTAGCACGGTGGCCTGTTTGTTACCCTTGCGGCAGTCAAGGGGAGCGTGTGCTCAGGCTCCCGGCCCAGGGATCAGCAGCAGGTTTGGCAGCGTCCTGGGGGTTTCTCCTGCCAAGTGCCGCACGGAAGCAGAAGCAATCCCGGGTGATGCTCTGGGGAGCTGTTAGCGGGTCACCGGCAGCTTCCCGTGGTCTGGCAGGCTGCCTGAGATTGCCGGTGCCCAGGTCCTCGCTGTTCCCTCCTTGCTGCCAGGCCAGCGTGTGCCCCCGGGTGCCCGGCAGCCCCGGGGAGGCTCTGCCTGACGTGGCTCCTGCGTCAGCCAGCCACAACCCCTCTGTGCTGCTTTCAGACCTTTTTGTCCTATTAAAATTTAAAAAAAAACCAACGCCAAACCAAACCAAAAAAACCCCAACGGGGTTTCGTTCACATTCAGATTATCCTCCGCTGAAGAGAGCTGCCGAGGACGTGCGGAGCGATGCAAAGGCGCAGCGGCTGCAGGGGTGGCCTGTGCTGGAGCTGCCCCTTCCCCTCAGAGGCTTCCCTCCCCAAAACTCCGCTGCTCCCCAGAAACCAGGGCCTGGCTCTCGCCCTCGCTAACAGCAGCAGGACTGTGTTCAATGGCAACCACTGGCGGGCAAGCGAGCCCACATCGTTGGCCCGTCCCAACCGACCAGGGCTTTGCTCTTGTCTCTCCAGGCTCCCTCTCACGCTGCTGCTGTCACATCCTCGTTCTCCCCTTCCCGTGACTACACGGCAGCTCGCCACAGCTCCGGTGTTCCCGGGGTGCTCCATTTCCACGCTGCGTCGTGCCTCACCCTCCACCTCCCCCCAGCACTGCGGGGACAGGAGGACACGGGAGCTGCAAGTGCAAGGGACCGTTCAAGCCGCGTTGGGCTTCACGAGCTCGAGGCCACTTCAGCAGGGACAGGACAGACCCCACTCCACTGGCTTCACACGTTTACTGTAGATGCTGGGCTGTATTCACACACATGTACACATTGGGCTGTATCCACAACAACCTTTCCTATGGCTGTAAACCCCACCATGCAGGATGGGACATAGACTACAGGAAAATAAGGTCTGTACAGTCACACCGGTGTGCCCAGGAGCTACAGGATACCAAGAGGCTCCTCCAAACGCACCCACACCTCACACCACGTCCAACATTAGAGTCCACAGTGCGATGACACATTCCTACTGCAGACCTTCGCCTACAAAATGCCCACGTGGTGCCTCTCCTACGTGCTTCCCATCTTGACATCTTCTGCCGTGTGCTCTTTGGCCTTCAGCTTGCCCGAGCAGAAAGGCTTCTTGGCTCCAGGCTGCAGAACAGAGACACATCGAACACCACACTAGCTTGCGAGAGCTCAGCATGGCCTTAACACTGCCTGGAGGATGGTGTGACCTTCCCTTTGCCCTAGGACGTGGCCCAAACAGCTGCCTATGCATGCATCACCCTCCAGCTTCGGCAGCAGGGATGCCGCCGTGCAGCCGAGCCCGGGTGAGCAGCAGGGCCCCGGGATGCCCAGGGAGCTGGCTGTTGGTTAAAGCGCAGGAGTTGGGTATCACACAGAGCTCCCAGCTCTCTGCCTGGCGTCTGCCCCGCCGCTGTTGCAGACAGGCACAGTCACCCCCAGTACCCGAAAGACAGAAAACTGTGCCACAATGTGTTGCTAACCGATCACAAAAGCTAGATAAGAGCATTACACGGGGTGCTCGGCTCCTGCTGACTCCACGCTGGGCTCCTGTGCCTTTCTGGCTGCGGTAAGCACACCCCAGAGGTGCCCCCCACCCAAGAGAGGCATCCCCAGAACCAACAATACTCCTTCAACTTTCAGCCCGCTGATGCCCTGGGGGTCTCTCCCCACAACCCCTGCTCTTCATTTACCAAACGCCTCCTGAGCAGTCATCTCATTTTGAGAGAGCAAAATCACACGTCTGCTCCTGTGAGGGGAGACCCTTCCTTTGCACACTTGCTTCTCCTCACCTCACCTCCACTGCATGCGACCAAGGGCCCGCAGGCTGCTGTGCCTTCCCAACCCTGCCTGCTGGCGAACGGGCACAGCCTGGAGGCTCCTTCACCTTATCCTCTGCAAAGCTTGAGATAACACCGGGAGTCACCTTCCTTCTACTTACAGGACTTGCCTCGGGCACCTTACCAACAGCCGAGCGTCCAGGCTGTGCCAGCATCCCCTGCGCCTCCCTACACCGTCGGGGCGGACACTGGTGGAAGCACCTCGCTGAACACGGAGGCTCCCGCTGATCACCGTGACCTGCCTTTGAACGCTCGGACACGGGGACGTTTGGCTCCTGGGGCTCCTGGTGTCCTCGGGGGCTTTGCCCTCTCCTGTGTTCTCACCTTGTGCAGCTTGGCCGCTCGCAGCAGCCTCTTCTCCTGGGTCAGCTGGAGCTGTGTCCTCTCCAGAGCCTCTCTCAGCAGGGCCTTCTCTTCTGCCTCCCTGTAGGCTTCATCTTCTAGCTTGGACATCTCCTCCTGGCACCTTTGCAGGGACGCTTGGCTCAGCCTGTGTGAAACAGGACGGGGGGACTGCCACCTGTGTCGACCCCCCAGTCCCCAGCTGGGAGAGATGGCTTTTGAGAAAACCCAACTGTGCTTGTGTCTCTCCTAGAGCCCCCCACGCCACGGGGTGACACTGAAGGACATCAGAGCAGCTAACACCTTGCGGGGACTTGCACACATTTTCGCAAGCCTTTTCCCTGCTCCGATTCCTTCCACACAGACAAACCCCTCTCCTCCTGCCTTTGCTGAGACCA